CACACACACACACACACACACACACACACACACACACACACACACACCATGCTTTGACCTCAGCACACTTGGTTTATAGATGCAAAGTCAGAGGTACATGTCTAGTTAACAAGAAGAAGCAGGAACCACTCAAATCTCAATTCCCCCTGCTGGCCTGTATCTGGAACATTGTGTCAAGCAGTTGTGCATTACCCACACTCGGACCTATGAGGCTTCTCTTCTACCCTCACCACCCTAGTCATGCTGGCTCTCAGTGGATTCTGAAGCTGGTCAGCTACTGTAACTAGAAATCCATCAGACCCTACCCCAACCACCACCATTATTAAGAAAAATTACTTTCCTGTGACAAATTCACAAATACCTCAAAGATTTTTAAATGGTCATTTTATAAGACAAAAAAAAAGAAATTTACATGATAACTTTATTATATATTTAAAAAGAATAGCAAGTTGTACCATAATAGATTTGCAGCTTCATGTACTATCATCTTTTTTATTACAGTTATGGAAATGCTTGTTTTATTCCATAGACTAAAAATAAAATAAATTAAAAAAAATAAAATAACATGTGACTGACTAAGGAAGTTACAAATTCTGACTTGGTAAATACTAAGTAAAGACCCTTTATTCTTAGCCCAGATTAAGTTTGGGGGTGACACTGTATCTAAGTGTCATGAGAGCCTCAGTCTCTCAAAGATCCTGCCTGCCAGTTCTCTTTCTAGCTGGGTACCTTCAGGTTGCCTCCCTGGTTTTGGCCTCTACTTCACCTCCATTCTGTAGCTACCTTTGGCCCTCTCAGATCCTGCCATGTTCCTTATCCTCTGGCCCTCTAGAAGTTGGTATTTTCCAACCCAGTCTCAAAGAGCTTTCCAATGGACTTTAGGTCATTCTATATTGACCTCCCAACACCCCTTTCTATGCCTTCTTCTCTGGAAATCCTAACTTTATCCTTTTTATTAAAAAAAATATATATTTCTGGTGCAGCTAGGTGGTGTAGTGGATAGAGCACTGGCCCTGGAATCAGGAGGACCTGAGTTCAAATCTGGCCTCAGACACATAACACTCACTAGCTGTGTGACTCTGGGCAAGTCACTTAACCCAATTGCCCTCACCAAAAAAAATTATTTCAATTTAATTCAACAAACATTAAAGGCCTGTGTACAAAGCATTATACTAGGTGCTGGGGGTACAAGAAAGAAAAGGGACACAATTCCTTCCTGCAAAGAGGATACAATCTAGTGGAGTGGGGCAGGGGGAGACAGAATGTAGCATGAATTCAAATAAAAATTGTGCAAGGTAGAAGAAGCAAAGGAGGGGTCCCCAAAAATGTACCATGCACCAAAAGAAAAAAAAATGAGGGGAGAGAGATTGTTTTCAGCTCTGTAAGTCAGGGATGGGTTCATGGAGGTAACCAATCTTGGCACTGAAGGAAAAAAAAGCTAATGAAAAAGGCATATGAGAAAGAAGTATGTTCTAGGAATCAGTAGACAGACTGAAAATATATAGAGAGAGCAGGAGGAGATTGAAGAATAGTTCACAGCATAATTGGCTAGAATGTTGTATGAGGGAATGGGAGCAGTGGATTTCCTATTTAGGCTTCTCTGGAGCATATTCTTTATGTGGTTGTTAAGGTTACTCTTCCGTGAAACTTGACTTCGTCTATTGTTCTAAGCTGGCATCTTGCATAGTCCTTTAGTGTCTGTATAGCCTTGGTGGAGGACACTATCTGTAACTGAAGTCTTTCTCTGAAATTAACTGAAATTAACTTTCTCTGACTGCCAGAAACAGATTGTTTTTATTTTCATGTTTCAAAGCCTTGTCGCTTTTGAGAGTCCATTAAATTCCAGCTTCCTAAAAAATACCTTTAGCTCTTAGCTCATTAACAGAACAGAAATGACTAATATTGGAATACACTCCCTTCTCACCTATACCTCCTAGAATTTCTACTTCCTTCATGAGGCCTTTCCTGATCTCCTGTTATTTGCTGTTCAGTTGTTTCAGTCACGTCCAGCTCTTTGTGACCTCATTTTGGGGTTTTCTTGGCAAAGATACTGAAGCGATTTGCCATTTCCTTTTCCAGTGGAGTAAGGCAGAGAGGTTAAGTGACTTGCCTAGGGTCACACAGATAGTAGGTATTTGAGGTCAGGTTTGAACTCAGGAAGATAATGTCTTCCTGACTTCAGGACTCACATTCTATCCACTGTGCCACTTAGCTGCCTCTCCTGATATTAGTACTCTCATTCGAAATTACTTTTTATAGGCTTTGTCTTTATTTACTTCTGTACATGTATTTATCTACTTCTGTCCCTTATAGAATTTAAGCTTCTTGAGGGCAGGAACTCTTGTTTACTACCTTTATATATCCAGTGCCTACCACAGTGCCTTGCAAATAGTAGGTATTTTAGATGTTTTTGGAATTCATTGACTTGAAATCCTTGACTTCACTGATTGGTTGAGTTTTCAGGTTTCTAGTTCTGACCATGTCCCTAATTTCTCTTTGTTGATCTGTCTCTCAGCTATTTCTGGAGGAGTCAAACTTTCCCCATTAACTTCTTATGGAATGAGATTATTTTAAGCACCAATTAAAATTATATGCAAAATTTCCAACAAGAAGGAGAAGAGTTTCCTCATGATCAACCTTTCATTTTTCCTCTCCTTAATGGAACTAGTCAATTAAATGTCAGAGGGACATAAAACCCTATACTCAAGCTCCTTGCCAGCCTATGGTCGCAGGCAAATTGTTTTTCTTGGCTGTAGTTACTCTCAGGATTGCCCTAAGAGGGTAAGAATCTAGTTCCCCATCTCTTTCCTCCTCTTACCATTACCTTTGCCCTTGCCCTCTTGCTCCAGTCCATCCTCTCTGGCAACAGGGGTTTATTTATCCAGGTCTGTTGTGACTGAAATGAAATGTGAGAAATGACTGCCCCATTAAATATTCCAGAAATTGTCACTGAATAATGATAATTCTGCATACGCCTAGGGGAGGGGAAAGGGTGTAATAACTGCAGGGTTTCTGATCTCAGGAGAAAGTATGGTACAGTAGAAAGAATGCTGGATCTATAATCAGGAGAAATATCTATTTAATCCTGCCTTTGACACTTATTAGCTTTGTGACCATGGGAACATCACTTAATGTCTCACATACTCAGTTTCCTCACTTACCAAGTCAGGACTTACCTCACAGGGTTGTTGTGAAGGTCAGATGAGAAAATGTATATAAAGAACTTTAAAAATACAGTTAATTTTGACTCACTTGTCCATACTTTGGGACTCTGTCAGGGGATTAATGGAATCCAAGATCATAGATCTAGGGCTGGGAGGGACCTCAGAGAAACAATCCCCTTATTTTATAGAAGAGGAAACTGAGTCCCATGGAGGTAAGGTGACTTGCCCTAGATCACACATATAGTAACTAGGATTTTAACCCAGGACCTCTGAGTCTAGAGCTAGCACTCTTTTGACTATACCATGCTGCCTCTGGAGTTTAAGGAAGGAGTATCCTACCCCTCCATGCCACTATCAGGGTCCCTCTATGAGGGGAGAGAATAACTAAAATACTAGGATTGCCCTTGTCTTGTTCCTTTCCCCACACCTCCCCATCTCTACCTTGCTCTTGGCTCACTCACCTTTGTTACTGGAAAATGAACTGAAGTTATAGTTAATTACCACAAAGTGTCCTGATGGTCTCCATCTTAATTAAGTCAAGTGATTCTACTGTAGGGAATGGGGTCAGTATTGGTAGGTAAGGGTTAGAGCTTGTTCTCTTGACTCTGCGTTCCATTCCTTTCTGCAGTGGATGCACGCTCGATGGACTTCTGATCCCTGTTATGCCTTCTTTGGTGTGGATGGCACTGAGTGCTCCTTCCTAATCTACCTCAGTGAAGTAGAGTGGTTCTGTCCCTTAATGTCTTGGAGGAATCAAACAGCAGTGTTACCTGCCCCTAAGCCCCTGCCCAAAGTCCAGGTAAGGATTTTGCATGACACAATTGTCCAGGTAGTGGGACCAATAGAAGACCATTAGCTTGTTTCTATATACTTCCTCCACCCACCCCACCCCCACCTTTTTAGGCAGGAAGCCTTGTAGATTCTGGGACCTAATCAGTCTGTAAGATGTGGCCTTCAGGGTGGGATATAAAAAAAAGTCCAGGTTATTCCCATGTCCAACTGAAAATTATCATGTCAACTGTCCATATCCACCTCCTTTCCTTTCTCTGGTCAAGAGGTTCCCAGACATATGGGCAGTTCAGATCACTCTCAAACAGGTTTTAGGGTGGGAGCCCTAGAGGCCCATCCTATGGTCAACCCAAATTCATTGAATGGAAGCGTAACTGATCCAGTCCCCTAGCTAAAGCCAGGGAATCACCCTGAGACTAGTTCTGAAAGGAACACTTTGACTCAGACCCTTAGTACTAGGGCTGGTCATTTGTCCTTCTATTCCTGTCCCAGAATCCAGTCTCACATTAAATCTGGAGGCACAGAGACTATGGTTCTAAAGGTGTCTCATTAACCAGGAATGGAGAAGTCATAGTGGAACCCAGGCCCTTGATAGTCAATCAATAAGCATTTATTAAATGCTATAGGGCCTGGGGATACAAATGCAGAAATGAAACTATCCCTACCCTCAAGGAGCTACCAATCTCAAAGTCATGGTCATTTTTAAGGGAGTTTTGGTGTAGGCCATTACAGCTACTGTGAGTGAAGCCATAAGGCAACAGATTATCACATCATTTCCAGTGGCAATGGTAGTATTGATTTATTATTTCCATTGCAAGTGCAAGAAGCCAAAAAGAGAAGATGGGCACGTATGTGACAAGATGCTCACATCGAGTAGGGCCTGGTGTCCTGGATGTTTGGTTGGATAATTAGAGATTAATTGACACTTCCTCCCCAAAACCTGCTGGGTACAACTGTCCCACACTAAGCATCAGTGTCTGCATCCCTCTCCCTCATCTCATCCCCTATAGGCAGCTTTCCGGAGCAATCTCTCCCACCTCTTGGAGCTGATTGGAAGTGGGAAGGAGTCACTGATCTTCATGAAGAAAAGAATCAAGCAATTGGCAGCTCACTGGGCTCTGGCAGCACAACGTCTGGAAGCAAAGCTAAAGGGATCCAGGAGAGACCAGAAGCAGGTAGATGGAGAAGACTTCCCCTGAGGCTCTGCCAGGAAATTCACACCCTGTTGTAGGACTGTGTTCTTGCCCTGTCACACCCTGACTTCAGTACCACCAATTCCCATGCTGAAAGTTATATCCACCACTTAAGACAAGTAATATTGACCCCCTTCTTCTCTCTCACCTCACCTTGATGCCCCAATGTAGTTAACTTGAGAGAAAGTTCTTACTCACCACACCCTCTGCATGTCCTAATAGATCCTTCTCGGAGCTCCTAAGCTTAGACTGATTTTCTATTGTGGTCCTTATACTGCCTGGGCTATTGTCATAGAATTGTCTGTCCTTATGAGCAAAGGATTTCCTCTCACAGTGAGTACACAACAAGCAAGATGAAGGATGAGAGATAAAGTACTACAGACCCCAGGCATCTACTTAAGTTTGGATTTCTTAACTACCAGCCACAAGCAGGCACTTGATAAATGGAATCCCCAAAGCCAAGGGGATAAGCAGGTACATGAATTAGGACAGGTCACTTCCAAAGCCTAAGAGAAGGGTAGGACAGGTGGCTTCTGTCCTGTAGGACAGCCTGTACACTACATCTTTCTACTATTAGCAATAGGAACAGCAATGATCTGGTATTTGGGGGATTTATCTGGCTTACTCTGGATAGTTTGTTCTACCCTGCTCATAAGGCCTCCCCATCTACTTCTTGGTACCTATCTACTTTGCTGCCACATAAGAAATCAATTCTAGTTTAGAGATGGAATCTGCTACTGATCAACTTCCCCAGACCCCTGAGAGAGGACAAACCTAGATAAAGCTTTGATTTTTTTTCTTTACACTGACTTGCTCTCTTCTCTCTTGGCTTCAGATCCTCATCCATATTGGTTTCTTGACAGAGGAATCTGGGGATGTGTTCAGCCCAAGGGTACTGAAAGGGGGACCCCTGGGTGAGATGGTACAGTGGGCAGACATCCTAGCTGTCCTCTTCGTCCTGGGACATAACCTGAAGATCACCGTGTCCTTGAAAGAGTTGCAGAGGTGAGTGTGTGGAAGAGTCTATTGCGGAAGTATAGGTGAATAATCACCCTGGTTTCCCTTGGAAAAAAGTACTGCAGGGGTCTCAGTTGTTTAGTAACCTGGGTTAGAGAACATGAACTCTGGAAGGCCTACTCAAGCCAAAGACATTAAGGTCTGTGACCATCAGGAAGAATTCCTGGTGTTCTGATTAAACTTCTTAGTCTAAAACTTTCTATTATACATGGCCACATCATTCTTCCTCAGAACTGAAATGTTTAAAATTTTGAAATGCACTGAGGCCATACATATATCTTGTTTTTCGAAGGGAATTTCCCTCCCAATCAAGGTCTTACTTCTAAGTAAAGTGAAGTTCTATTAATTGTTTTCAATATCTGGTCAATATTAGCTTGCTAGAATTGGACTGAATTGTATAGGTCAGCTCTCTTCTGCTTCCCTGATCCTTATGGTAACTGGTGCATACACAAGGCTTCTTTAGGATTCCCCACACTGGGATGCTTCTTGGCCCCATTCTAGCACACGAAGAGTAAGTTGAGCCTGAGGTCAGAAGTGTCAGCTAGTGTTTCTTTACTCCTCTCCTGACTATTATAAATAAGTCTGTAGATGGAGGCAGAAGGCTAGAGAATTTAAGGTTATTGCCTTGGGCTGCTGAGAAAACAGTCATTCAGAAGTAAATATAGGGACATTGAGAAGGAAGGAAGAATAATAAATAGAGAGATTTCTGTTCTGTGGTTTCATTCGTCTCTCAAATCTTCTTTCCACTGGTATTTTCCGTAGGGTCCACCCTGGTATACCAAATATAAAAATACACAAATCACTGGCAAATGAATTAAACATACTCTTTCAGGACATTGTTGCCTCTTTTCAATAAGCTTCCCAGTTAGCATATTATAGATGACGTCTGAATCCCCACTGTGCATCTTGAAGGATTATCAGTTCTAGATGTATTCATGAGGTCTTCCCTTTCCTTCCCCCTTCAAAACACTCAGAAAAGCATAGATTTAGAGCTAGAAGGAACCTTGGAAGTAATCTGGTCCAACTCCCTTATTTTATAAACAAAGAAACTGAATTTCAGAGAGAAGCTTGTACAAGGTCAGACACTAGTGGTTAAGTGGCTAAATCAGGATTTGAATCCTTGTCTTTTACCTCCAAATGCAGTATTTCTTCTCTTATACAACACCATCTCTCTTTGAATCCCTTTCTCCATACAATAACAGACTCAGATTCCCCATTTTAGCAAAATCTTAACAATAATAATTAATCACATTTCTATATTGCTTTAAGGCTTGTAAAAAAACTTGGCATGCATCATTTCATTTGATCTTCTCAATTCCCCTCTCAGTTAAGTATACTATAAGTATTACTATCCCCATTTAGAAGTGTAGGAATTTGGGGTAAATAATGTGAAAAGGAGAAGTGTAAGTGCTGAAATAGGAGCAGGTGAAAAGTTATTCAAGATACGTTTTGTCCACTTTACAATTTTGCTCAGGGTCAACCCTGCATAGTGTTATCAATCCTGTTCCTTCTAGGGAGTGCACACAAATAAGGGACCCAGGCTTTGGAGCTGTCCCAGAATGGTGGTGCTGAAGGAAGAGAAAGGCTTCACCAGTACAGAGAGATAGAACCAGCCTTTTTATAGAATTTTGCTGTTTCTATTGTGTGAAGCCTTTCTCTACTGAGTTGTGTATATATGTTACCTGCCACAGAACAGGGTTGCTCATTGAGACAGAAACGTAGTTGAACTCAAGTCATTCCCAACACTGCTTCCAATAATTAGAAATATCTCCCAGCTCCTGCTGAACAGAGAGCTTGAGAGATTTATTGACAGTGTCTGTAGGAATAAATTCAACAAAGCCACTAAATTATTGTAAATAATGAAAGGGAAATTTTCCTATGCTTGTGAATCTCTTCAAGCTTCTGAGAAAGAGGAGTCAGAAACTGGGAAATGGGGGAGAAATGTTTAGGGGGAGGCTGTTTGCTACATTGCAAAGGCTCTGTATACCACTGATTTTATACCAAGTGATTATAATAGCATGGTAGACTTGTAGCATCAATGCCTATAACTTCAAAAAAGGTACCTAGGCTGAATACAGGGGCACTATGGTTTGGTGGAGATGATATTGTTTTGAGAGACAAAAGTACAATACTGTATGTAGTTTTAATTACATTAATTACATTACTATCTGGATTTGGGTAAGTCATTTAACCTCTGGACCCCGTATGTGACATAGGGACAATATACTGGCCTATTCATACATCTCTGAGATGCTGTTAATCACAGAATTGGGGAGTCAGTGGTCTTCTAGTCCAACCTGTACATAAAAGGAATCCCAATAAATGGTCATCCAGTTTCTGCTTGAAGACATCTAATGAGGGGAAACCTACCTCTCTAGAGATACCACTCTTGTGTTGGTCTAATTCTTAGGAAGTTGTTGTTTTTTATTCTGACACCATGTAAATTTTCTTTTTTGCAACTTAAGCCCTTTGCTCCTGGGTTCTTCCCTCTGGATAAAACAGAGAAAATTAGATTTCTTTGAAATGTTTTAAGAATATTATCATTTTTCCTCAAGTCTCTTCTGCAAGATAACCACCATTTATTCCTTCAATTAATCCTCAAATAACATGGATTCAAGGACCTTCACTATTCTGATTGTCTTCCTAGATGTTCTCCATCATATTCATTCCTTCTTAAACCATAGACTCCTGAACTGAATACAATACTCCAGATAAAGATACTGATGGACTATTGCCTCCCAAATCCTGGACGCTGTGCCACTATGATTGCAACCTTGGATTTAATTCATTCACTTTTTTGGCTTCAACATCACACTGCTGACTCCTGTTGAGCTTCTGGTCCACTAAAACTCCCGATCTTTTTCAGAACAATTGTCTAACTATTCCTTTCCTGTCTTGCATTTGTTGAAGTGAATTTTTATACCCAAATGTAAGATTTTATGTGTATCCTTATTGAATATTACATTATTAGAATCAGTCTAATATTCTAGCCTGTGATCTAGCCTTGGATTCTGACTCTGTTATACAGCATGGTAGCTTTCCCAACTAACTCAGTGTTATCCACACATCTGACAAACAGTCACCTATGCTTTTTTCCAAATCATTGATTTAAAAAAATGTTAAGGCACAGCCCCAAGTACATCTCTGAGGTATTCTACTGGAGACTTTCTACCATGTCAACATGAAACAACTAACTATTCTTTTAATCTAGCCACCCAATCAGTTCCAAATCTATCTAACTGTATTATCACCCAATTCATATCTCTCCATCTTCTCCATAACTCTGTAATACGTCCATTGATCAGCAAAGATATCATCTCTAAATCACTGAAGATGGAGTCATTGGGTTTAGTGGTCCCAGAATGAGATTGTTCTAAATAGAAAATTCATTTCAATTCAACAAACATTTATCATGCACCTACCACTTGTAAGATTGTGCTAAGCACTGAACGTAAAAAGACAAATACAAAACAGTCCCTGGCCTCAAGGACTTTACTTCTTTTTGGGATAATGTTTATGTACATAAACAAGTAAATGCATGATGAAAAGTTCTCATACCTCAACCCAACTCTAATACCTCAAGTCACTCCCAGAGAGATCCCAAATCTCCTTTCACCTACACTCTTGGACTTTTCAATGTAACATGTGTTTTTACTGTACTTTTTTGCATGTTGGAAATTTTGAGAAGAGTATGATCCAGTGAAGAGGCAACTCCCAATTCTTCACTTGTATTAATTAAAAGGATGGTCTTAGTTGCTCACTGTCATAACTGGTTTGTACCAAGACAGATCTAACTCCTGTCCACTAATGCCTTGTGAATATGTATACCAATGTGAAATCTAGCTCAGGTAAAGCAAAATTTTGTAAAGAGCATATCAATCTCAGAGAATTTTCTTGAGGATGTGTTTTCTAAATCTCACAAGGTGCAGGAAAAAAGCTATAGGAAAACAAATCAAAACAAAAAAATTGCTATGTTCCCTCAGATAGAACATAAGTAGGTCAACAAAATTAACTTAGTTCATACTTTAAAGATACACAACATAATAGAGTGAATAGGAGACTGGCCTTGGAGTCAGGAACACTTGTGTTCAAATCTCCCTCTGACATATATTAGTTAGGTGAACTTGGGCAAGTTGTTTAATTCCCAGTGCCTCATTTATATCTTCCAATTCTAAGACTATAGCTTATCTGCATCAGAGAGAGAGAGAGAGAGAGAGAGAGAGAGAGAGAGTTCCCCACATGAGTGAAATCATAAGCCCAACCAAAAAGAAGAAATAAAAAATATTTAGAATTGAAAAGGACCTTGGAAATCATCTACTCCATTCCTCTCATTATTCTGATAGCAATACCGAGGCCCAGAGAGGATAAGTGAGTTGTAAGTGGCAGGGACAGGATTCAAATCTAGATATTTAAACTCCAGATCCAGCATTCTTTCTGCTATATCTTAACTGCTTCCCAGAAGACTTTCTTCTAACCTCATAAGCAAGAAGAACCCACAAACCACTAAGGGAAGTGTTTCAGCTTTTTCTTGTTTGTTTGTTTGCTTTTAATTTTCCTGGTTCAGCTGCATACAGATTCCTTGTGTAGGAAAGATCATGGATCAGAGTGTTGCTTGTCAATTTGTGCTTATAGGTTTAATACCAGAATGGAATCATTCTACAATCACAAGCATAGATTCTGAGCAGGAAGAGATCTTAGAGGTTATCTCTCTGGTCCAACACTCTCATTTTTTAGATGAAGAAACTAGACCCAGAGGAGTGACTTGCCAAAGATCACACATGTAAGAAGTGGCAGCACCTGGATTTGAACCCAGAGCCTCTTATTCTAGATCCAGCACAAGAGACAGCTTTATGGTGTTAAAAATGTGTTTAAGGGCACAAAGTCATTCAAAAGACTTTACAAATGTTGCCAAGGTCCTAGATTTGGGGACTAAATATAATGTGTTGAGGTGGGAACCAAGTATGTGATTGAGGGCTAACTTGAAGGGC